CACCAATAGTAAAATATTGCCTCAGCCCTGGGAACCCCAAGAAGCCTTGAAGACTGACGAAAGAAAAGCCTAGGGCAGGGAAGGTGGCTCAGTGGTAGAGTGTTTGCCTTGCATGCATGAGACCCTGGGTTCGATTCCTCAGCACCACATAAGCAGAAACATCCAGAAGTGGTGCTGTGGCTCAAGTGGTAGAGTGCTAGCCTTGAGCTGAAGAGCTAAGGGACAGTGCCTAGGCCCAGAGTTCAGGCCCCACAACCAACCAACCAAAAAGAAAAAAGAAAAGCCTAGAACTAGCCAAAACAACAGTTTCAATCAGGCAGAAATACAAGTCAGTATTTGTAGGTAAGTAGTCCTCACACTTTAAAGAGCATCCTAAGCCAGCCACTGGTGGCTCACACCTGTAATCCAAGCTACTTAGGAAGCTGAGAATAGGAAGACTACAGTTTGAGTCCAGGAAGAAAAGTTCTTCTCAACCTATATTTGGGTGCAGTGGCATGTACTTGTCATTCTAAATATCATGGAAGACTGAGATTAGGATGATTGTAGTGCCAGGCCATTGGGGATGAAAATCTGAGAGACTGTCTCAATGAAAGGGAAGGTGGATGCAGTGGTCTGTGCTCAGGAGGAAAGGAAGCAACACTATTATCCAAACCAAAACCGTGAAAAACAAGATTGTAAACACTGTTCAGGGGTATCACACACCAGCTTAGCAAGTATAAGCCCCTCAGTTCAAACCCAGTACCATATTCCACCCCCTCTGAGGAGTATCATAAACATGTAAGGACCTATACTGACATTATATATCTCCAAGTATTTGTCCCAGAGTGTGTAGGGCAACAACAAGTTGACATAGCTGTTGAGTGCAGCACCAGTGACTACTATTAAAGTAGTCCCTAGAAACAAACCCTAAGAAACAGAACCCATGGCATCCCAGTCATCATTGGAGCTTCAATATTTATAGGGAAAAAAAAAAATCAAACAACAGGCTTCAAAAAATAAGTAATTAATTAAAATAAACTAGTCTTGGGCTAGAGGCATGACACAAGTATAGAGAACAAAACCCTGAGTTTAAACCCCAATACTGCCACAAAGAGAATGGGATAAGAAGGAATAAAGAAATAAGGGAGAAGGATGAGATCACCTCAAGACTTACTCATGGTGACGTGACTTAGAAGGTGGTGCAGAGGTAGGTGCAGCCCTTGGGGTCATGAGAAGTTTCCTGAAATCTTCATTGGTGAGTTTTGATCTAGAAGAAATACCAAAGATTTTAAAAACTAACATCCAATAGGAAATGAAACTTTAATAGAAACCAGGAAAATATAAGTCCTTTAACACATTAGTGTTTACTAAAAAAGTTTAATAAATCAAATATGCATAAGAATTTTGGAAGTGGATCCTCTAGTATACTGCTAAAGGGAATGTGAACCAATTTGGAAAGCAATCTGGCAGTATTTATTAAAACTAAAGTGGATGTACCGTATGAATCAGCAATTCCATTTATCTCAATTTAACCTTGCCAATTACTTTCATATATATATACAAGAAGTTTAAGCCAGGCACTGGTAGCTAACCCCTGTAATCCTAGCTACATAGGAGGCTAAGATCTGAGGATTATGGTTTAAAGCCAGCCCGAGCAAGAAAGTCGACTCTAATCTCCAATAAACTAGAAAACCAGAAGTGGTGCTATGGTTCAAGCAGTAGAGCACTCGCCTTGAGCTGAAGGGCGCAGGGACAGCGCCTAAGCCCAAAGTTCAAGCCCCAAAACCAACCAAAAAAAAAAAAAAAAAAGAAGTTTACAAAGCAGGTTCAACAGAAGACTGAAAAATAAGAAAGATGGAAACAATATAAATATCTGTTAAGAGAATAACAATTCACTATGACAGTATTTCTCATTTGTAGGAAAGAGCACTTATGGTATAAGAAGCAATTTTAAATAGCACCCTGACAGGGACTCCCTTCATAACTAAACTATAGCAGGACTCCTTTGAGAATCTACTAACTAGAGCTCTTCTTTGTCCTGCTGACTCTAGTCTCCAAAGGTAATCCTGCTATCTCAAACTAAAATACTTCCGCTATTAATTCAACTGTTTCTGCTTTGCTTTAAAATCAGTATTGCTTTAAAACCAGTTTTCCTCCTAGTTCTAAAATTCAGCTTTGATGGGCTGGGAAGGTGGCTCAGTGGTAGAGCGATTGCCTTGCATGCATGAGGCCCTGGGTTCAATTCCTCAGCACCACATAAGCAAAAAGAAAAAAGCCAGAAGTGGCGCTGTGGCTCAAGTGGTAAAGCGCTAGCCTTGAGCTGAAGAGCTGAGGGACAGAGCCCAGGCCCAGAGTTCAGGCCCCACGACCGGACCCAAAAAGAAAGAAAGAAAGAAAGGAAGGAAGGAAAGAAGGAAGGAAGGAAGGAAGGAAGACTGAGCTCATAGTGGAGTCACATGTGATGAGAGGTTAAAGCAGGAAGACTATAGGTTAGAGTCCAGCCAGGTATACATAACCTAAAAAAAAACAAAAGTGGTCAAGTGGTCACTGTTCAAAACCAGCCTGGCCAGGAAAATCCATGAAACTCTTTATCTCCAATAAACCACCAGAAAACTAAAAGTGGCACTGTGACTCAAGAGGTAGTGTGCTAGCCTTGAGCTGAAGAGCTAAGGGACAGCGCTCAGGCCCCAAGTTCAAGCCCCATGACCAGAAAAAAAAAAAAAAAATTAGAACCAGTGTGAAGCCAGGCACTGGTAGCTCACATCTGTAACCCTGGCTATTCAGGGGACTGAGATCTGAGTACCTCCATTCCAAAACAACTTGGGCAGAAGTAAAAAGCAGAAATGGAGGTATGGCTCAAGGGTTAGGCATTAGACCTGGGGGGGGGGGGGGGGGAAGCAAAACAAGAGCTAGAGATCCTGAGTTCAAGCCCTAGTACTTGCAACCAAAGGGGATGGAGGCGGGGAGGCATTTGGAAAAGTTGTCAAACACAAGTTTACTTTTATTTCCAATGTTTTAATTTTGTATGGGAAGAATCCCTGTATATGTGATTAAGCAACACTTTAAAAAAAACTAGGCCTTTTCCTACCAGAATTTCTCCTTATGTAGTACATCCAATCCACTTTAAGGTTCCCAGAGATAAAGGTCAGGAAGTAAAATATTTTACCATCTTTGCTGACAAGAGGATTCTTTCATCAGCACTACCATTCCTACTTATTCATTGTTCAGTTCATTTCCTGGGTCCTGGAACAAAATACTCACTGGTGGAAAGAATGAGGATCATCCACATCATGGCCATCTGGAGCCAAAGGGTTGGAGAACGGTTCACCTAACAAAAAAGAATTAACATTAGGGCTGGGATGTGGCTTAGTGGTAGAGTGTTTACCTAGCATGCATGAAGCCCTGGGTTCAATTCCTCAGTACCAGAAACAGAAACAGCTGGAAGTGGTGCTGTGGTTCAAGTGGTAAGAGTGCTAGCAAAAGAAGCTCAGGGACAATGCCCCGGCCCTGAGTTCAAGCCCCAGGATTGGGGGGGGGGGGGGGGAAGCAGAATTAACATTAATTCAGCTCTTTTTTTCCCCCCAGTGCTAATCCAGCTCTTATGTGTCAGTCCTGTACAAAATCTGGAATTATAGCAGTAAACAACACAGAAGGAAGAGGTAAGAACAACAGTAATCAAGAAGGTTGTAAGTGCTAACATGGGAAAACTGAGCTATGGGAGCACAAAGAGGTTCCTCTACCTCAGGTGGAGGATCAGCACTTTCCTAAAAAGCACATCTGAAATGCTACATCAAAAGTTCAAGGCCGGGCACGAATTGCCCATGCCCGTAATCCTAGCTACCTAGGCTGAGATCTGAGGATCTCAGTTCAAAGCCAGCCTGGGCAGGAAAAGTCCACCACTAGAAAACCAGACATGGCGCTGTGACACAAGTGGTAGAGCGCTAGCCTTGAGCTGAAGAGCTGAGGGACAGCGCCCAGGCCCAGAGTTCAAGCCTCATGACCGACCAAAAACAAAACGAGTTCAAGGGCTGGTTAATGTAGCTTAGTGGTAGGTGCTTGACTAGCATGCATGACGCTTGGGTTTGATTTCCCAGTTCCACATAAACAGAAAAAGTCTGAAAAGTGGTGCTGTGGTTCAAGTGAGAATGTAGCTTTGAACAAAAGAAGCTCAGGGACAGTGCCCAGTTCCTGAGTTCAAGCCCCAGGACTGGCAAAAATCAATAAACAAAAGAGCTCAAGCCTTGGGCATGCCTATAATCCCAACTACTACGGGGGGCGGAGGGAAGTGGGTGGTGAGGCCGGAGAACCAAGTGTACAAGGCCAACCAGGGCAACAGAGGAAGACACCCCCCTCCCCCGTTTCCAAAAACAACGCTGTGGCGGAGGAATGAGCACAATTCACTATTTAGATAAAGGAAGGGTGAGAGTGGGCTTTTAAAAAGCGTCCGTCCTCACGTAAATTAGCAAGAAGGAAGCTCGGAAAGACCTGGTGTGGTGGACCACGCCCGTAATTCCAGCTAATAAAGAAGCAAACCTAAGAGAGTGAGAGTTCGAGACCAACCAGGGCAAAGCTGGTGGGTCTGAACCGCAGAAAAACATAAAAAACCAAAGCAAAACTCAGTGTGAAGCAGCCTGGCCTCTCCGAAGGCCCAATGGCTTCGTAGGGCTCCAAGCGCCACACGACACCGGCTTAAACGCTGCCAAATTAAATTAAGTGTCCCCAGTTCTGCGATACAGCAAGAAAGAGCTGTTGACCCGAGTGTCTTACTGTCCCGCTCCGGCATTTTGTCCGCAGTCTTTCCACAGAAGCAAGCGCCAAATCTCCGGCAATAAACCGACGGCGTCAAGCTTTTCCCACAATCCACCTCGGAACGCTCAGTACTTCCGGCTTCCTCCCCCTCGTTTGGGTCGCGGAGATTGAACTGAGACGTCACGGATATCTATCATACCTTCATGTCATTGGCTAATATTTACCCCGCCCACTAGCGTCATCCAATCTGTGGAAGAGGCTGAAGGTTCCGTTATTGGTCTGACTGGGAAGGCCTGGAATTGGGCTTTCCGTACTAGCAAAGATGGCGGCGGCCGCGGCTAGTCGGGCGGCCGGAGCGAAGCAAGTCCTTCGTGAGATTCGCATCCACTTGTGCCAGCGCTCGCCGGGCAGCCAAGGGGTCAGGTGAGGCGTGGCGTGGTGAGGCGGGAGGGCTTCGGGACGTCGGGGTCATGACCTCGACCTCCCCAGTGTTTGGGGACGCTCTGCCCTAGGACGCGCCGCCTTGTCTCCGACCCCGCAGGGATTTCATCGAGAAACGCTATGTGGATCTGAAGAAAGCGCACCCCGACCTGCCCATTCTAATCCGCGAGTGCTCCGACGTGCAGCCCAAGCTCTGGGCGCGCTATGGTGAGTGCTGGGACCCCGGCTGGAAGCTCGAGAGAGGGCCCTGGCCAAGGTCACGAGAAAAATGTGGGAAGAAAGTACAACCAAAACCTCAGCCTTGCTGTTGCTAACGATGAAGTGCACATTCACAGCGCTCTATGATGCCTTGCCTTTGGGTAACACACACATTTGAGTCTTGCAGGTTCGTAGCGTAGGGATTTCTGTAGATCAGAATAGTCTTCAAAGCCTGTAATCCTAACTACTAAGGAGGCTGAGATCTGAGGATCGATGAATGAAGTCAGCCCTGGCTGGAAAGGCTGCGAGACTTATCTCCAGTTAACCACCAAAGGGCCCAAGTGTAATTGTGGCTCAAGGGGTAGAGCGCCAGCCTTTAGCTAAAAAAGGAACAGCGCCAGGCCCTAATTTCATACTCCAGTACCGGCATGCATACGGGTACACAAACAGTAGGCTTCAAGTAGAAAACATACTAGTCCATTACCATCGATGAATGCCCTACCAAACTAGATGTGGCAGTGTGGGTTCAGATACTTCGTGCTAAACCTGTGTTGTTTTCCTGCCTAAATCATACCTAATCCTCAATTATGCAGGTGGAAAGATTAGAAAAGACAACTTTAGGGGCTGGGAAGGTGGCTCAGTGGTAGAGCCTTTGCCTTGCATACCTGAGGCCCCGGGTTCGATTCCTCAGCACCACATAAGCAAAAAGAGAAAAAGCCGGATGCCGGGCGCTGGTGGCTCACACCTGTAATCCTAGCTACTCAGGAGGCTGAGATCTGAGGATCGCGGTTCAAAGCCAGCCCGGGCAGGAGAGACCTATCTCCAATAAACCACCAGAAAACCGGAAGTGGCGCTGTAGCTCAAGTGGTAGAGCGCTCGCCTTGAGCTGAAGAGCTGAGGGACAGCGCCCAGGCCCAGAGTTCAGGCCCCCACGACCGGACCCAAAAAAAAAAAAAAAAAAGACAACTTTATAAAATATACCTAAAATTATGCAATTAGTGTTTAACAGCATTATGCCTTTTACATTTTACCTCCTTTTCCTGGAGTGTACCTCCCAATCTTCCATGGCAGACTGGCTCTTATTCACTAAGGTTCTAATTCTGTTTAACCTCATATATTCAAGCATTCTGCCAGACGCCTGGGGCTTGCAGCCTGTTATCCTAGTTACTGAGGAGACTGAGATCTGAGGATTGAGAGTCAAAGCCAGCTCGGGCAGGAAAATCCATGAGACTCCTCTCCAGTTAATGACCAGACAACTGTAAGTGGTACTATGGCTCAGAAAGAAAGCTCTGAGAACTCATCCAGGCTGAGTTCAAGCCCCATGAGAGAACAAAAACAAAAAACAAACAAAAAAAACCCACAGGGATTCTCTGACTAGTCATTCAGCATTACCCTGGCCTTATAATATTTTTTGTAGTTTATACGAGATAAGCAACTTTCCTGATCTCAACCTTCTAAATAGCTTACAGGTGCAAGCCACCATGAATAGTGTGACATTTCTTTTTCTTGCTGGACCTAGGGCATAGGCACAGGCCAAAGTCACTGTCCCTGAGCTTTTATGCTGAAGGCTAGTGCCCTACCTCTTTGTGCCACCATATTTAATTAGAGATGAATTTCACAGACTTTCCTGCTTGGGTTGGCTTATAACCTGGATCCTCCTATTGCAGCTCCTTTTTTTTTTTTTTAATTTTTAAATTTTTATTGCAAAGGTGAGACAGAGGCATTACAGTTACAAAAGTCAGGTAAAGAGCACATTTTTTTGTTGGTGGTGGTGGTGGTGGTCGTGGGGCTTGAACTCTGGCCTGGGCGCTGTCCCTCAGCTCTTCAGCTCAAGGCTAGCACTCTACCACTTGAGCCACAGTGCCACTTCTGGCTTTTTTTTCTTCTTGCTTATGTGGTGCTGGGGAATCGAACCCAGGGCCTCATGCATGCACGGCAAGCGCTCTACCACTGAGCCACCTTCCCAGCCCCCATTGCAGATTCTTGAGTAGCTAGGGTTACAGATGTGAGCCACTGATGCTGGACTATGAATGGTGTGATTTTATTTATTTATTTATTTATTTATTTATTTATTTATTTATTTTGTCGGTTGTGGGGATTGAACTCTGAGCCTGGGCGCTATCCCTCAGCTCTTCAGCTCAAGGCTAGAGCTCTACCACTTGAGCCACAGCACCACTTCTGTTTTTCTTTTCTGATGGTTTATTGGAGATAAAAGTCTCACAGAATTTTCCTACCTGGGCTGGCTTTGAACCACGATCCTCAGAGCTCAGCTCTTGAGTAGCTAGGATTATAGGTGTGAACTGCCAGTGCCCAGATTTGAATGGTGTGATTTTAATCCTGGTTTTTAATTATACCCTGCCCTAGGAATGTCTGGGGGCAGAGAAGAAAGAATCATATCTAAGGCAATTGGTTCTAACAATGTACATCTTTATATGTCATATACAACTGTTCTTTGTTTTGTTCTTTTGTCTTGGGTACTGTTCCGGAGCTCTTTGGTTCGGTTAATTGGAGATAAGAGTCTTGTGGATTTTCCTGCCCAGGCTGGCTTCAAACCACTCTTCTCAGATCTCAGCTTTCTGAGTAACTAGAATTACAGGCATGAGCCACCAGCACCAGGCAAATAATAACTGTTTGAAGAAAATAAAAAGGATTTTTTAAAGCCCATTGACTAGAAGAGATGGATACAATTAACCTCAACATACTGTGCCGCACATTATGTTAGATAGGCTTTTTTCTTTTTTTTTGACTGGTCGTGGGGCTTGAACTCTGGGCCTGGGCACTGTCCCTCCCTCAGCTCTTCAGCTCAAGGCGAGCGCACTACTGCTTGAGCCACATCACCACTTCCAGTTTTCTGAGGTTAACTAGAGATGAGTCTCATGGACTCTGCTTCCCGAACTGGTTTTGAAATGCGATCCCCCAGATCTCAGCCTCCTGAGTAGTTAGAATTACAGGCATGAGCCACCAGCACCCAGCATTAGATGTACTAATTTTTTTTTTTTTTTTTGGGGGGGGGGTCCAGTCGTGGGGCCTGAACTCTGGGCCTGGGCGCTGTCCTCCCTCAGCTCTTCAGCTCAAGGCTAGCGCTCTACCACTTGAGCTACAGTGCCATGTCCGGCTTTTTTTCTTTTTGCTTATGTAGGGCTGAGGAATTGAACCCAGGGCCTCAGGCATGCAAAGCAAGCGCTCTACCACTGAGCCACCTTCCTAGCCCCAGATGTACTAATTTTTAAACACACAGCAACCAATGTTAGCCAGACTGTCTAGGGATTGCTCATAGTGGTTAATAATAAATGTCTTAAGATCTCCTTGAGGGCTGGGAAGGTGGCTCAGTGGTAGAGTGCTTGCCTTGCATGCATGAGGCCCTGGGTTCGATTCCTCAGCACCACATAAGCAGAAAAAGCCGGAAGTGGTGCTGTGGCTCAAGTGGTAGAGCACTCACATTGAGCTGAAGAACAGAGGGACAGCACAGAATTCAGGCCCCATGACTGACCAAAAAAAAAAAGATCTTGAAACTTTCTAATTGTAGGCATCCTGAATCAGCTAAAATGAGACTCCTGGATTAATTCTAACATTTACCTTTATGATTTTAACAAGACTCTGAAGTAGGAATAAATTATAGAAGTATAATTTCATTAGTCCTACTGTTCAGAGTACATAGTCACTGTTCTCTTTCTTCCTCAGCATTTGGCCAAGAGAAGAATGTCTCTCTGAATAATTTCAATGTTGATCAGGTAACCAAAGCCCTGGAGAATGTACTAAGTGTCAAAGCCTGAAGTCTCGCCACTGTGAATTATGAGCAAGAGTACCTGGGCTCTGCTGGATTAAGAACAATGTGGTAAAATGTGTTCTCTTACTCCTTATAAAGCTTAGGCTGTAAGTGCTGCCTTCAGGATGTTCTTGTCCTTATTTTACCCTCTGCCTGTTACTGTGCAATGACCACTGAAACAAAGCAGTTTAATATAAAAATAAAACTTTATTTCTTCTTAAAAACCACCACCTGCTATCATTGTGGGACATGTCAGTTACTAGTCAAGAAGCTAAAGAAAATAAAGTAGAATCGAGTCCACTCCCTACTTTGGCTACTTAAAAAGCCATTAGGTGCTAAAGCAAAAAAAAAAGAAGGGTGGTAAGAATAGATTGGCAACAGAGATGATCTTCTGGTCCTCAATGCTGTACATTGTGGGTGCAGAGGTGGTGGTGTTTGCAGGGGTGGATTCCAAAGATCTTGGCTTAGTTATAAGAAGAGAAAACATAAGACCTCATAATGATTCTAACCCACAAAGGCTCCTTAGTTTTCTGCCAAAGAAAGTAGGCCAAAAATATGGAGATTGGGGGGGAGAGGGTGGATGGGAAAGGCACTCAGCATCAAGAATCCAGATCACCTATGAAGAGCTGTCTGCCTGAGAGCATGCACCCGATCCTGAAGCTGGGTCTCCTGATGCTTTTCCAGGGCCTGCAGCCCTGACTGCTGGAGAAAGGCCTGGGCAGCCTGGGGGCAGAAGAGAAAAATTCAACACCAAGGTCCTTGTGCCCTGAGTCAATTCCCACAGTTGCATGGGTTACCCCACCTCTTGAAAATAGGTATACTCCCAACTTATGAAGGTTCTGAACCATGGCCCACATAGACTAACCCAGCCCAGAGGGAAAAAAAATAGTTTTAACTAAAAGAGAAGACTATGATGAGACTAAAGGCTACTGAGTAAGGGAAATTAGAAACCAGTCCAAAAACCTACCTCTGGCTTATAAAGGAATAGAAGCTGCAGCAGTTCCAAACTCTGACCTACTACTTCAGTGTCAGAAAGGGCCAGGATGTCCAGCAAGCAGGGAAGCAGGGGCCCTGGCCATAGCCGCTGGCAATAAGCTGAACCCTTCTCTGCAATGTTGCACAGAACCCTAAGTACCTAGAAACACAGATACAGTCCCCAGAGAGATGGAAACCAGAGGTCACAATTACAACTACTGTGACTACATGCCTAGGCACTAAGCCAATTAGACAAACCTTGGCTGTTTGCTGTGGTTAGTAGATTTACTTCAAAGCTAGACTGGTCTGGCTCTGAAGCTATACCATATCACCTGCCAGCCCTCATACATCTGAGAGCCTTTTCCCCTGTTTACACCACAACTACAAAATCTCGGACTTCAATGTTCCTGATACATACCAGTATGCTCACCACATTAGATAGTGGCAACAGCTTCAAGAGGGGTTCAATCAGATCCAGAGAGAGCAATGATGTACAGAAAGTAGGACTGTTTGCTGGAAGGGAAAATATCAGTATGAAGTACCCTGAACTGGGGCTTAAATTGCTATTTTCCCATCCCTAATCCTACCTACTGTAGCCTAGGCCATAAGGACTTAGCCCCTTTGAAGGTTCAGTCCCTACTCAGTCTGGAGCAAGCACTGCCCTGCAGCCTCCTGGACAAAGAATGCTTTTCCAGGCCGGGAACCAGTGGCTCATGCCTGTAATCCTAGCTACTTAGGAGGCTGAGATCTGAGACTCAACTCCAATTAATCATCAGAAGTGGAACTGCGGCTCAAAGTACTAGGGCATTAGCCTAGAGCTAAAGAGCTCAAGGCCAGTGCCCAGACCCAGAGTTGAAGACCTAGAGTCCCATGCCCCTGGCTCTCCTCTCAGCCTGATTAGCAAAGTGTAAGCTCATCTATCTCCAGAGCTGTTAGTTCTAGGGTCTGGCTACTACTAGGAGGCTAACTAAGCCAGGAAGGGAAGGATTCCATGTTTGTGCTATGTCTGTTCCCAGCAATCTACCCAGGTGCCTGGGGTATATGTGAGCATAAGTTCAGGACAGTGGTGGTAAACATATCCATCTGTACTGACATGCCCTGGTGTGTCCACATAATGTGTGCATGGATCATCCCTGTTCACACAGGGATTGGGGAGCTCTATTTACTTTCAGTCTCCTTACTCCAGGAGCCCCATGAGATTCAGGTTGGCCACCTGTTCCCAGAATCCTGCACTATGATTAAGTCAGGTGGAGAGGCCTTGGCTAGCTGGATTTGTAGGATGGTGAGAGCACTTCTGTCTGAATATGTTTTTTTCTGATCAAAGCTTTATTGGAACATTATTTATTGAGGCCTCTTTGGGAAAGCCTAGGAACAAAGGTGGGAGGAGTGTGGAGCTTATATTCCCCTTTTCTTTACCTTAAGTGAGGGAGGATAGGGGCCCTGAGATTCTTTCATAACATCCTGAAGGAACTGAGGCCTAAGTGATTGACGGGGGATAAGAAGAGACCACGTAGCAGCCGTGGGTAGATGAATAGGTAGTCCCATCACTGAAGGCCCCAGGTGCCCCCATCACAGATGGAAAGAAATGGGTTGGGGAGTGTAAGGCCTTCACACAGGATAGCAGGTAGGATGAACAAAAGGAGCATGCAGGGCCCCATCTGGTGTTTGAAGTCCCCTGTTCCCCAGAGCTCTGTACTACTCTTCAATCTCCACTTGCATAACAACTTCTCCCTCCTAATTTTTAATAAATATTTTGATGGTATTAAAATGTCCAAGCCAAGCACCAGTGACTCACACCTGTAATCTTAGCTACTTAGGAGGCTGAGATCTGAGGATCGTGGTTCAAAGCCAGCCCAGGCAAGAAAGTCTGTGAGACTCTTATCTCCAATTAACCACCAGAAAACCGGAAGTGGTGCAGTGACTCAAGTAGTAGAGCACTCACCTTGAGCTGAAGAGCTGAGGGACAGTGCCCACTTCCAGAGTACAAGCCCCACAACCAACAAAAAAAATAAACTGTCCAGTGTAAGCAGATTGTGTTGCATACCAGTAAGATTGTTGAGGAGCCACAGGCCCTCAGGAAGCAAGCTGGGCTGTTTCTGAAGGAAGAACTGGAAGAGGATAAATAAGGCTACTACAACACGCTCATCTTTTGGCTGCATTTGGTATTCCACAGCCTCCACCAGCTCCTCAGCTAACAGGTTGCTTAGACACCGAAGCACAGGACATATGAGCTGCAAACACAATTGTAAGGTCAAGTGTTAGGAGAAAGGTGGTATACAGACACCAGATGGGCAAAACATGACAAAATGTCACTCAGACCTATGCTTTTCACCTACTAGTTCCAGTCCTTCATCCTCCATTCTTTGGACAGCCCCAGCCAGGTCTAACAGCAACAGCTCCAGAGTAGACAGAGCCCCACGGGTGATGAGCAAGGCATTGTTGACCTGGCTGAGCAACAGGAAGCAAGCAGTCACTATCTAGTCAATCCCACCTTTAAGCTGGAAACAGCCTAAACCGGTAGGTCTCCTGGACAAAAGAAAGGACTATAGAAAGATGAAAATCCACAATCACAATTCCAGAAGCCAAATTCAGTTCAAAGACCTAAGTGACATGGAAAAGAGCTCCACAAAAGGTCTCTGGAATTCTCCAAAGTGACCCATGTACCTGCAGATGATGTAGTGAAGGCACCAGGCAAATTCCACAGCGACCCCAGGGTTCAGCTTTGGACCTGGTTGCATCAATTGCAGCATGTGCTGGGGGAGAGTGGAGTCCAGGACAGAGCTGCCAGCAGAAGCAGAACTGTGAGGAGGAGTCATGAAGATGCATTGGCATCTTCCCAAACTCTTAAAGCAAATGGAATGGTGTCTAAACCCACAGCTCTTCCTAACCAGATTCACATTGAAGTTTAAATGTGCAATAGCTTTGGAAATCTGAGCTGATGAGGAATCCATGGGCTAGAATACCAAGAAGTAGATACAATTTTACTTACCCAATAATCTTCTCTGGAGCTTCCTTGGCCTGCAGAAGCTGAGACAAGGCATATCCAAGGGCTTCCAGCACAGCCATGTGAGGGGACTAAAAGTACACAGTGTAGGGAACTGACTCTGAAACTGGGTCATAAGGTCTCCAGAGACTTTCACCCCTTAACCAACAGAGGTTGGGCACGTGGATAGATGAGAGGGAAGGCTTGTGAGGGAGGGAGATTGGAGGGACTCACCTGGATGCAGGTAGCAAAGGCTAGAACAATGCCCTGTGGCAGGAGCTGCCTTCTCACAGCCTCACTCTCCACGATGAGGTTTCCCAGTGTATACAGACACAGCTCCTGACAGGCAACAAAAGCACTGGACTGGACATTGAGCTGGGCTTATTTTTTTCCTCCAAGTAGTTCTTTATTGAGATCAAGTGATTACATAAATTTCACAGTAATGTGGCATAGTTACTTAGCTGAAGTCACAAACACCTTTTAACCTTCACAATGATAATCATCATCTTAATCTACAAAGCTTATGAACTCTATGAACTTAAACAATAAAACTATTTCTACTAAATCAGATGATATGTACCTTTCTTTCCTTTTGCTTAGTGTCAAGCTGGGCTCATTTCATACCAGCCAGGGATGAGGAACATAGAACTGCCCTGTTCTTGAAGTTCACAAGAGAGTGGGGAGCCAGGGGTTGGTGGCTCATATCTGTAATCCTACTGAGGAGGCTGAGATCTGAGGATCACAGTTTGAAGGCAGCCCAAGCAGGCAAGTCCATGAGACTCTTACCTCCAATAATACATACACACACACACATACACACACACACAGAAGTGGAACTGTAGCTCAAGTGGTAGAGCACCCACCCTGAGCAAAAAGGCTAAAGGACAATGCCCAGGATGAGTTCAAGCCCCAGTACTAGCATGAAAAAAAATACATATATATAAGAGAGAGGGGAAATGATGAGTGCATGTACTGCTGTAGACATCAGAGGAAACATATATTACTTTTTTTTTTTTGTCCCTATACTTGCCAGCTCAAACTGGCAAATGTAAATTTGTGCAAAAGCTCAATTTAAATTCTAATCCCAGAATAAGGTAGGAAGGGACAGGACTTACTATGAATTCTGAGCTGTGACCAGAGAGGTAGGTGAGGAGGTAGGAAGTAGCTGGCAAGCAGGCTTCAGCCACTGCAGAGATTTCAGAATGAGAGAGCTCATGAAGGCACCGGGCTGCCTCAAGCTGCAACAAGGCCCGGTTGCTGGTCAGGAGCCCTACCAGGGTCCGCATACTGCCCTCCAGCCTACATGAGTGAACATCAAAACCCTGCTAAGCCTGTAGTCTATCCCTTCCACACTTTTCTATCCTCTCAGAGTCCCAGCAATCACTTACCCCACCCACACTGACCTGATGAAGGTCTGTTGTGTCTCAGGATGCTGTAAGCCTCGACGAAGGCTGACCAGAGCCTTTTCTCTCTCATTTTCATCTGTCCCTCGCTGGGCTAGTGACAGGAACTGCTTGACCTAGACCAGGACACAATTGCCAGAGACAAGATCTAAGTCCACATCACCTGTAAGACCTCCAATATCAAACCATTGTCATTGAAACTAATATGATTAATAAGCACCATTCTTTGTGGGACAGTAGACTGACAGATCAGAATTGGGTCCTGCCACTTGCCACACAAAGGGATCTGTCTCATAATAACACTAAGAATAAAACTATCTACCCTGACATGTTATTTCAAACATAACATTAAAATCTCTCATCTGGCAAAATCTACTCCTTCAGTTTCTCCATGCAATGTACACTCCAGCAATTGGTGTATTTTAACATTTCCAAGATTTTCATGACTTACTCAGCTGGAATATCCTCTCCAGATTCCCTCTCCCTTTGGGTTTCTTCTCAACTGTCCCTAGAAATGGGCTCTTCCTGGCTTGCTTTGGCACTTAGGAGTCTCCCTTCTGCACCACGTTTCTTTTCATTATGTAAAAAGTAGGACATCTTTCTCCTAAAGTGGTCTATAAGCACTTCAAAGAATTCTATTTTGCCTCAATGCCCAGCACACTGTTCTATCACAGAGCATACAATAAATAAGTAATCTAGCCAAGGAGTAAGTGCCCTGTAAACTAGGTAGGTAAATACAGGCAATACTAAAACAAGGTAAAACCTGTGTGTGCTGAACTTTTTCGTTTACTCATTCGATACAGAACATCTATATTCCAGATACTGTACTCAGGAGGGAGGAAAGGAGAGAGATTGCTAAAAAGTAGCAGAGGCACAGGAAAGTGGTTGGTATATGGCTTCAGTAACTGAAAATGGGACAGTGGTTAGGGTGAGTAAACTGACAAAGTTGGAGGTTAGACACATGCTGAGCTTTGCAGGTCACAGGAAGGATTTGGGTTTGGTTAAGTTGGAGGAAGTTAGCAGTTAGATCATGTTGAGCTATGCAGGTCACTGGAAGGATTTGGGTCTGGTTTTTTTTGTGTGTGTGTTTTGTTTTTGCCAGTCCTGGGGCTTGAACTCAGAGCCTGGGCACTGTCCCTGAGCTTCTTCTGCTCAAGGCTAGCACTCTACCACTTGAGCCAAAGTGACACCTCCAGTTTTTTTCTGTTTATGTGGTTCTGAGGAATCAAACCCAGGGCTTCATGCATGTTAGGCAAGCACTCTACTACTAAGCCATCTTCCTAGTCCTGGGTGTGATTTTTGAGTGTAGGAAGTGTAAACGTTCTAGGAAGCTACTGTATTATCCAGAGATGGTGGTGACAACTGCACGGACGAGGCACGCAAAGACTGGAGCACAAACGGCTGGGACAGGAGGGTGATGAGCTGATGTGGAGAATCAGCTGATTCCAGTTTCCCGATGAGGTGCAGAGTGGATGGTGTTCAAGTAAGGGTCAGAGCCTCAGGCACCCGCGGGAGTTTGGCAGCACACGCCCCTCCGGGCCCCCTCACCTCCGCTTCCCCAAGAACCACGGCGCTGTTTGAGCTCCCGGCTTCCTCCTGCGCATCTTCTCTCAGCAGCCTCTTGCTGACCAGGTGCTGCTCCCTCCGCGCCTTCCGCAGTGCTGCGGTCAGAGGAACCGAGGAAGCCGGCTCAGCGTGAAAGCACGGCGCGCGGGACCTGAACCCGCGCCTCCCACTCAGGGATCCACTCCTTTAATCTCCAACCCGCACCCCCCCCCCCCAATCTCCCACCTCCCTAGTCCTCTCGCACCAGCCTCCCGCTCCCGGCGCCGCTGCCGTAGCTCCTCCACTCCGCAGGCCAGCGGCCTGAGGCGACTCTGCCGATGACTCCACATGATGGAGCTGGAAGATAGGCAAGGAGACCAGCAAACCCGTCAGCAAGGTCTCAAAGCGTTGGAAGAACGGCTCGGACTGCGCAGCCGCGACGCAGAATCCGGAAGACAGGCTGGGAGGGTGGGGCTGAGCGCGGAAATGAAGGCGGGACCCAGCGCGATGAGACCGGCGGTGGGGCGGGGCCGATATCGGGGGGCGGGGATATGCTAAGCAAAAGGCGGAGCCCGGAATTTCTGTGCCGTTATTTCAAGGGTGATCTATCTGCCCCCTCTTGACCAGTGTATCAAGCTAGTCTCCTGTCCTCCTACCAACTCCTGGTATAACTGAGATTACAAATTGCACACCACCAGACCCAGTTTATTGCTTGAGATAGGGTCTTTCTAACTTTTTGCTTAGGTTCCATGCTCTCATCCACCCATTCTATGGCTGGGGTGGGGCCTGGGTGTTGCTACTTCCTCCAGTAAGAACTTCCTGGAAGTTCTTAGGCAAAAGCCCAGAAACTTGGACTGAAGCATCTGCTCAAGCAGCTATAGCTTCCTGATAGACCTTTTGGCATCTACCTGCCTGGCAACACTCATCCCTATAAGAACCAGCCCAGTGTCCTGACTTCTACAGGGCTGGCTGTTTCCTTCTTCAGAGCCACTATGAGTTTCTGTAAGTGAAGATTTCTCCTCTGTAAGTGAACTGTAGTTCAGGACTGAGGTTTGCTTCTACCATCTACTGGAGTCCTTGAGGGACTGTATCTCAATCATGTCTCCATTCCAGGGCTTCCCTCCAACTCTGGCACTTGGTAGAAAAAATGATAGCTATTCATGGGAGTTAATATGAAAGTTGGGCTCTTTTCTTCTTTAGCTTGGACCTTTCTGTTCAGAGTGCCTCCTGGAAGGTGCTGGTTTTTGCAAAGGAGCCAGATTTCAGCGACCTGAGTTATCTTAATATAGACTCTGGGGAAGAAGGCTACCTTCAATGACATGGCTCTGAACCAAGAACTTTTCTCAGAGAGATACTCTTATCTCCAAATTAAAAAGCCTAAGCCAACCCAGGCACCAAGGGCTCACACCTATAATCTAGCCACTCAGAAGGCTGAGGTCTGAGAATCACAGTTTGAAGCCAACCTTGGCAAACAAATCAGAGACTCTTACCTCCAATTAACCAGCAAAATCCTGGAATTGGAGATGTGGCTCAAATAGTAGAGCATCAGCTTTGAAAAGAAAAGCACAAGGCCTTGAATTCAAGTTGCAAGATTGGTACGTGCACCCCCCCCCCCCACACACACACCAAAGCCCAGAATTTCCCCCAAGTCTTGCAACTTCAGCAATACAGCTAGGATTCTAAGCCTGGCTGTTGCCCCAAAGTTAGTTATTTAACATTGAGACATATTCATATCTTGATCCTCAGGAAAGTCATAGAGACCTGCACCGGCAGACTCAGGCTCTCAAGGAATGCTCAACAAAGGCACACAGGGGCCAGTGTAGTCTAAGAATTCTTTGAGATAGGGGAAGAACTCCTCAGTTAAAAGGCAGTATAAATTTACAAGACTTTCAGCTAGTTCTTTCTCCAAGAGTCTAGGGGAATGGATTGTTAGGGTTGTTGTAAAAGTACTGTCTCTATTCCCATCCTCTGAGACATTTGTTCCTGGCCTAAGGTACTGGTAGGGAACTCCCCTTCCTCATACCTTCCAGACAACCATGAGGTGCCTGAGTCATTCAGTCTGCCTGGCATCAAAACCCCTTAATGCCCTAAAGAGTCCTTTCTGTTTTGGTCCTCCCTCCCACCCTGCAATACTTCATTGCAATGTATCCTAGAAGGAAGTGACTGGCGCTGTGGGGAGGAATAGAAGGGGGGCAGTGACCAGCGTGTGTACAAAGGAGGAAACAGAGTGACCTCCCAGGATTACATAAACTCATCGAGGCTGCCAAAAAGTTAGGACAGATAGCCGTGTGGAAGTTAGGCTGGAGAGCCCTGCTGTACAGGGGAGAAGCCGAAGTCTCTCCCTGAGCCAGCCTGGGCCATAAAGGCTTTCACAGGACTTTGTGAGCATGGTGAGTTACGCGATTTGGGGGTGGAACCACCGCCACTTGAGGACCTCCAGGGACAGGTTAGGAGCCTGCCTGACCTCCGCTGTCTCCCTCCAGGAGAGCGTGTCGTGCCTGTGGCTGCTGCTTCTGCCGCTGCTGCGCCTCTCTGCAGCAGCCACAGCGGATCCCTGCGAGCTGGATGATGAAGACGTCCGCTGCGCTTGCAACTTCACCGATCCGCAGCCGGACTGGTCCAGCGCCCTTCAGTGCGTGTCTGCGCTCCAGGTGGAGATTCGCGGCGGCGGCCGCAGCCTGGAGGAGTTTCTAAGCCGTGTGGACCCCGAGGCCGACCCGCGGCAGTACCTTGATGTAGTCAGAGCCCTGCGCGTGCGGCGCCTGACTCTCGGGGCCGCACGGGTGCCTGCCCCGCTGCTGGCCGGCGCCCTGCGTGTGCTAGGCTTTTCCCGCCTCAAGGAACTGACGCTGGAGGACCTAGAGGTAACGGGCACCGCGCCCCCGGGGCTGCTGGGGGCCACCGGGCCTGAGCTCACCACCTTGAGCCTCCGCAACGTGTCTTGGGCATCCGGAGGTACCTGGCTAGCCAAATTGCAGCAGTGGCTCAAACCCGGCCTCAAAGTACTGAACATAGCCCAAGCACACTCGCTAGCCTTTTCCTGCGATCAGGTCCGCATCTTCTCGGCCCTGACCACCCTGGACCTGTCTGACAATCCCGCTCTGGGTGAGCGTGGATTGCTTTCGGCCCTCTGCCCTCACAAGTTCCCGGCACTGCAGAGTTTAGCGTTGCGCAATGCGGGGATGCAGACGCCCGCTGGCGTGTGCGCGGCGCTGGCCAGCGCGGGGGTGCAGCCCAGCCACCTAGACCTCAGCCACAACCCGCTGCGCGCTACGGCAGACCCTACTTCTTCCGAGTGTGTGTGGCCCGCCAAGCTCAGCTCTCTCAACCTGTCGTCTGCTGGACTGAAGCAGGTGCCTAAGGGACTGCCGGCCAAGCTTCGCGTGCTTGATCTCAGTTGCAACCAGCTAAATAGGGCGCCTCTACCAGAGGAGCTCCCCACGGTGGGTAATCTGTCACTGCACGGAAATCCCTTCCTAGCGCCTGGAGCTTTCGAACCCCAAGAGGACAGCGAGAACTCCGGCGTGGTCCCGGCCTGTGCACATTCATCCCTGGCGGTGGGGATGTCTGGGACGCTGGCTCTGCTCCAAGGAGCCCGGAGATTTGCCTAAGGCTGCAGGAGAAGAATGAATGGGCTTAGTTTCCCCAAGTTTCCCCGAGGGCTTTCAGAACAATCGCATTCCTTGACTAGTCAAAAAGATGCACTAGCTTTATTAAAACCTTAAACCACAGGTCCATGTCGTTCACTCAACAAACCTTTACTGGGTGTCAGTTGTGTGAGTTGATATGGCTGTCTGCACAGTGTCAGGTGGAAAAGTGTCAGGTGGGGAATCCACTAGAAACCCGTCCTGCCCTTCCCAGGAGAAGAATTTCAGAGACATTTCTCAACAGAATTGTAGCATGAAAGAAACAACAATGTCTGCGGGGAGAGGGGGGAGGGACTTTCCAAACTGGCACAAAATACCAAATATTTCCTCTTCCATGCAGTCTCTAAGAGCCAAAGATAATAAACCCGAGTCATTTGTTTGTTTTATACTCTTTCTTTCTCCCTTATTCCAACAGGGCCCAAGGTGCCTCCCGTCCCATATAAGGTATAAAAGTCATGATTCCAGGGATCCTCTGGTGGCATTAAATTCCTCTGCCCCCACATGTGTGGTGGCTTTTACTGTGTCACTTCCCCATAATTTTGGGGATTTGAGCATGGAGAAAAGAAACAAGGTATGGTCCATCTTCAAACTAAGATCTTTTGTTCTGTTTTATGAGTATAACCTTTTCAGGCTAATTCTTTGATTTGCAAATAGGATATCTCAGTGCATTCACAACTGCAGAATAGACAGAATGTGCCCTGGAACCCCCCTCCCACCCCCTTTTTTTTATTGTGAAAATACCCTACAGAAGGGTTACAATTACATGGGCAAGGTAATGAGTACATTTCTTATCAAGCATTGTTGCCTCCTCCTTTGTTTCCCCTTACCATCCCTTCCCATCTCCCCCCCCCCCCCATCGGAAACCCCTTTAACTCAGAGACTCAGAGATGTCATCTACTGAGGTACAGTTTACTACATTGGAGGAGCAGCCACATCCACCAGAGATCGTGATTGCTACCTGAAAGATTATTAGACTTTGCCAGAGAACCACGAAAACATTCAGGTACAGAGAACAAAGAAAGGTTTATTGCTGGGAAAGGGGCTATCCAGGTACAGAGAACAAAGGTTTATTTCTGGGAAAGGGACCAGCAAGTCCCCTTCTCACAAGGGAGAAGAGAGAAGAAGCACCAGCTATTGTCTGGGGTGACCTATATAACCTAGGAGTCTTAGAAGGGGCAAGGAGGTGGAGATCCAGTGTGAAGGTGTGGGCCAGGGGCTTCATCATCACAGACTAGGATTTATGGCAGCTGCCCAAATAGTAGATAAGGGGTCCTACAGCTGCTCAGACCTGAAGGTCACTCTAAGGGGCTCTTGTTGCCTTATATGGTGGTATCTGCCCCAGAGAAGTGCCATCCCAAGGTAGAGGGGGGGTTGGAGGCTGATAATTTACTGCCTTTACTACATGGGTCTAGTGTTGCCTAGGAAGGGAGCATACTAAGCTGTGGAGAAGGGAAGATTGGACTAAGCTATGGAAAGGGAGCTCGTTTTGCTAACACTACCTCTCATGTTACCAATGGGTGGTGGTCTCTGAGGTAAAGATCACAGTCTTAGTGTCTCCAACACACCACACACACACACACACACACACACACACACACACACACACACACACAGTGGCAAAGCAAGGAGTTTAATCAAGAGTGAATGAGAAACATTGAGAGTTAAAGACGCAAAAAAAAGGCAGCTATCATCTACTGCCTTTAACTTTAATGAGTTGGCAGAGTACATACAACCATCAGCAACCCCCAACCTTTATTTGCTTGGTGCCTGTACAGGGACTTGAACTCAGGGCCTGAGTGCTATCTAACTCTCCACCCTGCCCAACCCCCCCACCCTTCACTCAAGGATAACACTGTACCACTTCAGCCACACCTTCACTTCCAGCTTTTTGGTCACTAATTGGACATAAGAGTCTTCAGGACTTTCCTGCACTGGCTGGTCCCCTAGATCTCAGCCTCTTAAATAGCTTGGATTACCTATGCGAGGTACCAGTATCTGGCAACAACCCCCAAGCCTTAGGCAAAGGTTCTGAGTAGCCAAAGAAGGTGTTACTTAATATTCTGAAATTTGGAGACAGCTTCTGGGCCTATCTAAAACGTAGGTGCAATAGATAAGCTTTAGGATTTCCTTATCTCAGATAAAGCTTCTCATTTTACTGTCTCTATCCCTTCACAGATAGTTGCCAGGTTTTTACCATTTCAGAGGAAGAGGCAGCTTCTGGTAAACAGCCTCTTTTAGATCTCCCAGACACTGTAACTTAGTACTTAATGGAAAGAAGCTTGAATGCTTTGTTTAGTTGCTTCCTGGTTTCATCTTCTGTCTGGTCTTTTTTTTTTTTTTTTGCCAATCTTGGGGCTTGAACTCAGGGCCTAGGCACTGTCCCTGAGATATTTTTGCTCAAGGTTAGTGCTCTACTACTTGAGCCACAGTTTCACTTCCCTGATTTTTGATGCTTACTTGGTAGAGATAAGAATCTTATGGACTTTCCTGCTGGGGCTGGCTTTGAACAGTGATCTTCAGATCTCCTCTACCTGAGTAGCTAGAATTACAGGCATGAGCTAACAGCACCTGGCCTGAGCCCTTTATATACTTATTAAAAATAATATAGGGCTGGGAATGTGGCTCAGTGGTAGAGTGCTTGCCTAGCATGCATGAGGCCCTGGGTTTGATTCCTCAGTAATACATAAACAAAATTTTTAATTAAAAAATTTTTTAAATTATATAATTTCCCTGTTTCCTGGTCACAATTCCCCCCCTAAATGAATTTAGTCCCTTTTAATCTTAAAAGGGGGTATAGAAGAGAGAGAAAGAACTCTTGAGTATCTCCTAGGGTGTGACTAGGATTTAGGGTTGGTTTCAACATTCTTTTCCTGCCTTAGTGGGACAAATGGGTCAAGGGTGATCCCTGTAGACTATTGTTGCCACTTGCTCTGGCCAGTGTCCAAAGCCACACAGTTAGGAATGGAGATTGAGATAAACATTGATGAGAGTTAGAATTCACAAGAGTGAGCCTCAAAGAATAGCAGGACACAGCTAACCTAACTGGCAACACCAACTTGAGTGTTTCCAAGGAGACTTCTGCCAGCCTGTTGGGAAATTTCTAGTATCTAAGAACTGAGATAGTTACTTACATTTGAATAGCTCTTCTAACAAATACTACATCAATAAGTTACAGAGCTCCCGTGCTACTTCAGGCCCTGTGCCTTGTAGCTAAAGATGAATCAGAAACATATATGCCCTCGTGGAACTATCACTCCATTAAGGGAAGCAGATACATAAAGTTAGTTATAATTCGAAGAGAATGGGGAATCAACACTGTAAGGGAATGTGGCCTTAGTGAGGATTTGCAAAAAATAGATTTGTAGAATCTGGGTCTTGTGACATGAATATCACTTCCTCAGGAAGACAATCCCAGAAAAAAAAATCTGCCAACATGTTCAAAAGCTCAGAAACCTGAAAATAGATGAGCAGAACTATGAATTGCATGGTAACATAGCACTGTGATTGAAGCTGGAGACATTCATTCAATTCATTCAAGCGTCCAATTGTGGTAGGCACTATCACAAATACATGAAATATAGCAGGGATAAAGCAGAAGTTTCTTTTCATATAGAGTTCATATTCTAATTGGATGGTGGGTATTATGGAATGAATGTTTGTATCCCCTCAAAATTAACATATTGAAGGTGAGCATGGTGGTGCATATCTGTAGTAAGTAAGCTGAGAGGTAGAAGGATTGCAAACTCCAGGCCAGCCTAGGCTACATAGTAAGACCCTGTCTCAAAAAAATTAAAAACGATTTTTGGGATAGGAATGTGGCGCAGTGGTAGAGTGCTTGCCTAGCATGTGTGAAGCCCTAGGTTCGAATCCTCAGTACCACATAGACAGAAAAAACCGGAAGTGGTGCTGTGTCTCAAGTGGTAGAGTGCTTAGCCTTGAGCAAAAGAAGCTCAGGGATGGTACCCAGGCCTTGAGTTCAAGCCCCGGGACTGGCAAAAAAAAAAAAAAAAATTACTGTGTTGAAGCCCTACTAGGGGTAGTATTTGAAGGTGGGAAGTAGTTTGGTTATAAGGGTGGGACTCTGATCCAATAAAATTAGTGTCTTTATAAGAGATAGAGAACCCACACATGCTCTCTGTCTTCCCATGCACGCACCAAGGCAAGTTCTTGTGAGGATGCAGTGAGAGTAGCCCTTTCCAAGCCAGAAGGTGAGGCTTCACTAGAACTCAACTGAGATGGGATTTGACCTTGGACTCCTTAGCCCCAAAACTGTGAGAAAATTAGGTTTCTGGTGTTTAGGCTATCTAGTCTATGAGCTAAGTCAGTGGTAGTGATATATCTGATTATGATGCTGCAAAGATAATCAAAACCAAGGAAGGGGGAGATAATGTTCATATGCTTCATATTTTATATAGGATAGTATAGGACGGCCTCTCTGATGAGGAATGTTTGAACAGAAATCTGGGTAAATTGAGAAAACTTGAGGATATATGAAAGAATGTCACTTCAGACAGAACAGCAAATAGAAATATCCTGAAGTGAGGTTGCAGCTAAATAATCAAAGATAGATAGAGGGTAAGAAAGAAATCAGAAAGAGGCCAGAGCCAGATGTTGGTGGCTCACACTTGTAATCCTAGCTAATAAGGAGGCTGAGATCTGAGGATCTTGGTTCAAAGCCACCTTGAGCAGGAAAGTCCGTGAGACTCTTATCTCCAATTAACCACCAGAAAGCCAGAAGTGGAGCTGTGGCTCAAAGTGGTAGAGTGCTAGCTAGCCTTGAGCGAAAGAGCTCAGGGACAGCACCCGGGCCCTGAGTTCAAAACTCAAGACTGACAAAAAGAAAAGAAGGGAATAAGTAAACAAGTAAGAAGGTAAGTAAATAAATAAATAGGCTGGGAGTGTGGCTCAGTGGTAAAGTGCTTGCCTAGCATGCATTAAGCCCTGTGTTTGATTCCCCAGTACCACATACACAGAAAAAGCCAGAAAGTAGCACTGTGGCTCAAGTGGTAGAACACCAGGCTTGAGCAAAAGAAACTCAGGGACAGTGCCCAGGCCCTGAGTTCAAGCCCCAGGACTGACAATAAATAAATAAATAGGCCACATGATACAGGATTTTGTAAAGCAAAGTATGGTCCAAGGCAAGTATTGGTGTGCAAATTGTTACTGTGCTATGAGGAGATAGATCCAAAACTCAGGAATAAGGGTTGGGAATATAGCTCAGTGGTAGAGTGCTTGCCTAGGATGCATGAAGCCCTGGGTTTAATTTCCCAGTACCACATAAACAGAAAAGGCCAGAAGTGGTGCTGTGGCTCAAGTGGTAGAGTGCTAGCCTTGAGCAAAACAAGCTCAAGGACAGTGCTTAGGTACTAAGTTCAAGCCCCAGGAA